ATCGCTCTTGTGGGAGACCAAGGCCTTGTTTGAAATAGATTTTTTTTTTAAAAAAAATTATTTTCTTAACATTCATTTTCAACCACACATTTTCCAACAAAAAGTCGATTTTCCCAAAATCACTTCGTAGAAAATCAACTTTACACAAGACACTATTTTGACATTTTTTGCATGTAGAGTTAATTGTTAGAAATGTATTTACTTCTGTTAAAATTCTATTTTTCAAGAAATGAATGATGTATAAGTGTGTAGTACCTATGTATCTTACGAAATATGTAATCAAAATTAACATTTTTGCTTTGGAAAAATATCTTTTGTAAAAAAGATATTTAAAATCAAAACAAAGGTGTCTCATTCTATTGACGTTTGCCTTTCAACCAAAAGTTAACACATCCATGAATTGCTTCCAGTGGTGGAGCCAAGGGCGGTCCTAGTATGGATATTTTTTTATGGGTAATTAGCACATAACGTCCACATCTTTCATTGTTATCGTGGAAAACGTCCATATCTTTCATTTTGTTACATTTTCACCTTTATTTTCACCTTTTATTGTGCAAAAGATCTTTTTCATATATTTTCTCAATTAAAAATTGTAAAATGACAAATGTACCAATCTTTAAATAAAACAAAAAAAAAAAAAAATTAATTGCAGTGATAGTCCCAAATATTTTTGAAAAAATGCAAATAAGTTCCAAATAAATTATTAAAAGGGTAATTAATATATAATGTCAATACCTTTCACAGTTATTGCAAAAAACGTCCATACATTTCATTTTTTGGCATTTTCATCATTAATTACACATTTGATTGCGCAAACCATCATTTCATCCAATTTCTCAATAAAGAACTGAGAAATAATAAATATACACTCCTATTTAAATAAAAAAACATTTTTTAAAAAAATTTCTAATTCTTTAATAATTTATTTAAGACTCCTTTGCAATTTTTATTTATTTTTAAATTATTTTAAATGAATTTAATTGAGACTCGTTTGCACTTTTTTAAAAAAATAATTTTTTTTAATAATTTATTAGGGACTCGTTTGCACTTGTTAAAAAATGGATTATGGTTGTAATTAATTGTTTTACTTTTTTATTTACATAAAATTAGATGAAAATGAATAGAAATGCTGATTCGAGCCATCAAATGTATAATTAATAATGAAAATACG